GAAGTTCAGCCTACTTTGTGGCCTCCTTACGGCTCCAACTGCTCCTGCTGGGAGTGGAGCCGGCTGGGAGGAGGCATCCTGAGAGGAAAGCTGCCTTTTAGCCACCATGAAAGACTCGACACCTTTGTGTTTCTCTTCACACACGCGAAAGCTGTACCTTTCTGCGCTGCTGACAGAAGTGTCTGCCAGCTAATAACTAAGCTCAGCGCCGTGTTCTGCACACTTGCCTTTATTGTGATACTTTAATAATTCTGCCAATCTTTTGCTTTTTGTCTGCAGAATCAAGTTGCTATTGTAAAGACCCACTGCTTGAAACTTCCCCAAGCCCGGTTGCCAGACTCATGATGCTGCAAAAACGTCAATACATACTGCCACCAAACTGCTCAGCTCTGCATTTCAGTGTAATGACTCTGGCAGAGATGCTGTTCCAATAGTCACGCAGATCAGCTGCAAAAAAAGAGGGCAGCCTCGAATCAAGGTCTATAATTCATCTGGACTGAAGAAAAAGTTTGAGAGTAAACTCCATTTATTTTGCAGGCTTAACTTCTTAATTTGTTCTCTGGCCGGTTGTAGGGGTGTGCACAAGAGCACAGTTGTCTCTGTCTGTGTTGGTAGCATAGTTGTACTTCTGCATACCTGTAATTTCTTTCTTTCAGTGGAAAGAGTTGCTCCCTTCACATATGAGGCCAAGAGGAGAGAAAAAAAGCAGCTTTTAAAATAGAAGCACCACAGTACATTCTGTAAATGACTCCTCCAGCTGAACATGTGTGAGAAGTGACAGTGTGCAAAAGTTATGTTTGTATTTCAAAACAATAGCAAATGCTGTAGAAACCAGAGTTGTAGACCTGTTCAACTGCACTGCATATCTATAGTCTGTCCTCATAGTTGCATTTACAAAGTAAATACTTCTTGCTTCTACTCCATAACTCATGAGCAGAAATCAAGAAGCCCAATGACCTTTTCCGTAAACCAGCTGAGAATAGAAGTAGCAGTTTGATGTTGTAACCATGTTTTCCATTTTGTGTCAGTTGCACACCCTTACCGCATGAACCACTGCAAAATTTAGAATTCTCTAAGTAATTACATTATTTAGTGTATTTTGTAAAGAAGTGAAGCAGTTTGTTCTCTCAGAAGAGCTGTGTCACCTGCAAAATAAATACCCATGAATCATGAATTAACTGATGTTAGTGAAATTACTCTCCTCCCTACTTCCCTCTTATAGCTTTTGGGTTTTTTTTTTTTTTCTTCTTCTTCTTTTGTCTCTGATTTGACCTTAAGACAGGTCTACGCATATTCAGCAGTCAGAGTTTCAGGATATGGTCCACCTGCTGTGATAGAATTGCATTGATTGTTCCTTCTATGTGTAAATGAAAATGAGTATAAACAATAAAACGCTTTACTGTGTTCTCAAGAGTTGTGTGACTAAAAGGAGTATTTGTTGGTTTACCTGGTTTCTCAGTATTGACTTTCTAGGTAACACTGATTTGATGAGTCACTCAAGAAAGCAATTGATGAAGGCTGAAATTGCAAGCTTTGATCAGTGGTCAGATTTTTAATAGGCAGTTTTGCTTTCATCCTAACCAGTCCTGTTAGGCTTATTCTTACTAATTTCATATAATCCAATACTAAATTTTTAGTTTGGTTTTTTTTTTTCTTACTTCATTAAAAGCAAACAAAACTTATTTTAGCATTTGGTGAATACTGTAATCAATGCTCATTTAAAACTATATGTATTGTAGATGGGGGCTCTTATAAAGATTAGAAAAATCTTATATGATTTATCTACCTGTTATTCTTCAGAGAGTCATTCAAGTAGTAAGTATTTATTTGCCTAACTAAATAGTAAAGAAATAATTTGACCATCTGTGCCTCTAAAACTCCCATTAATTGTAAAGGGTAAGATGTGGTCATGGGCAGGAAAGAAGTCTGCAAGATTAATTAAAGTAGTGGGAAATAAACATTTTCAGCAATTTGAATAAATCCAGAAGACTTACTTCAAAATTGCATACCTCTAAAACAGAGAACTACTATACTATGCTTCTAGAAAGTACCCTATTAAATTATTAAAACCAAATACGATCAGAGGAATTTTCTAAACCACTCTTACTTGACTAATGTGCTTATGTTCCTTTTAAAATTTTATTTTATTTTATTTTAAAAATGGGGTGAAAAAAGCAAGGAAGATAGCATCAAAGATGGCATCGAACAATGCCTAACCTATGTTGTCATTTTCCAATCTTGTAGAATGAGTTTGTTTAATTCAAATTCTCAGTGAAATCATTAGGCTTCTTGAATGCCTAAAAAAGGGAAAACAAGACTGTAATTTTCAGCATTTCCACAGAGACTTGAGTCTTCTGGCAGTTTTTACAAAATTACGTGACTTGGAGAGTGTGAGGTTAAGGAGTTGGATTTTCCTGGTCTTCACACTACTAGAGTATAACTTCATCTTTAGCAACTGGCAGCAAATACTCCCAGCTCCCTGCTGCGATGTGAGAATTTTGCTGAGAAGCTAATTCATTGAGAAATTATCCTTCCGGGTTTATGCTGGGACTCTGAACTTTCTGCACAACCAAACATTTCAGATAACCATGCTCGCTGTTGGGAAGACAGTCGGTGTGAAAGCTCTGCTGAGTGACTTGGGACAAGAGAAGAGGAAGCTAACTGGAGCCTTGCTGAGATACCTGCTAGTTAAAAGCCTTACGCTACCTGAGCATCATCATCTAGTTCAGAAAAATGTTCCTGGAGGGAGATAGAGTGAGGACATGCATCTGCTCACCGTGGGAGAGAAGAAATGTAGGGCAAACATCACTCAGTGTCGGAAAGCATAAATATTTAAAACACATTCCAAGATTCACGTACTGTTTTAGGACAGGAAGGGTGGCCCATGTGAGCTTTGCTTCATTTTGACTGGCAGAGTGTGTCCTTGTTGAACCTAGGTTTTAAAAGATGTTAGGGTACAGGGATGTGGCAGTAAAGTTTTGATTCTCAGGATATTGCTCTCCTGCCTTTCCACTCCCTTGCTGTGCCTGGTCACTGTGCTCTGCCTCTGAAAGGATGGAGCATCTGGAATTTTCCGTAAAAGAGACTGTCCTGTCTGTCCACACCCTGTCTGTACTCCTGTGGAAGGGGCTCAGAGGACCCTGCCTCTTGACATTATTTTGTCATGGGAGGAACTTCTTCCTGACTCTGCAGGTAAGGCACAAAGGTGTTTAAGCCCATGCTGTGCAGTTTCAGTCTTTCATTACGGAAGCAGCATGCCTTCCTCTTACCTTGTTGCATTGGGTTCAAACACTGCCAAATGATGTTGCTGAGACAAATTTCTGGCACTGACGTTTGAAGCTGATCACACGTTTGGAAACCTCATGCTTCTCACGTTCCATGGTAAGGGATATGTGCATGATAGTGTTGCTGACTACAAGCACTGTGAGACATAGGACTCTTCAAGAGTAGCTGTGGTTGTGGAAGCAGCTGTTTGCAGCCTGGTAACTGTACTATTTTCCTACTATTCCTCAATTTTTTGTAAGAGGCACTTCTCATTATTCCAATTAATAAAACACAGGCACAGAATATAGAAATCGAGAGGGGAAATCCTTTGCAATGAACCTTCATACAGCCATGCAGCAACCTACAAAGTTCTACCTCTTCTGCAAGGTAAGAAAATGTGCCTTGACTAACGTGCTGAGGCTCCATGGGACAAAAGGGATTTCAACTGATTCTTTGGACATTTATACCGTATTCTCTGCTGCAGCATTTGAGGAAGCTGGCCTGGAATTCAGCCTCCAGCAGGGCCATGTAGAGTAGGAATGACAGCTAATATTCCATTTGGAGCAGCCGGATTTCCACCCTCCTCTGCCCCTGCCTGCAAAAAGCCAATCTGCCTTACATTAGCAGAGTGCTCCCGTGGCTTTCTGATTCACCGTTGCTGCTCTCTTGGTCAGAAAGGACTGGATATTGTCAGAAGTAAGCACTTTTATCTGAAAATCCAGATCAGTCTAAAGCTATTCTTTCAGGGAGAAAAGGGAAAAACCCATAAGTAGTAGTTACAGTGAAGAACAAGCATTTTGATCCGCAACAGCAAATAAAGCTGAGCAGTATGGCTGAAGGCAATTTTACATGCAAGTGGTGAAATCCCATTAAAATTGAAATGTAGCAGAGACTGAAGAACATGTTTCTCCAGAAAAGGGAGCCTGTAGGAAAGAAAGGGGGCAAGGAAGTAATCCAAAATCTCCAACCCTTCATCGGGGTGTAAGGAAAGAACCCCAGGGTTACTACTCCTCATCTCAGCAGACAGATAAGCAAACAGTTTCAGGGACAAGAACCATACCCAGAAAGACGTAAGAAAATTACAGGGGCGCATTTATTCAATAAAATAGATGCTAACTTCTTTTTGTGTGCTGGGGACCTTTTTGTCTTCAGGGGAACTGCACATATTTGAGATATATCCTTAAAAACCTGTCTACATTAGGACAGAAAGGTTTGTGGTTTGTGTTAAGAGGTTTTTTTACATATTCCAACAATTAGTACCTAATCCAAACAGACACAGTTTAAATGAACTCTCCTACAGCAGTGAGTGTGGCTGATAATAGTAATGAGTATGAAAGATTTAAGCCCAGAATAATCATATAGAAAATCAAGCAGAAAATGAAGCTCTTTAATCAATCACGTATTAAGCTTGGAAGATGTAATATAACAGGCAACTCAATAGGTGAGTTGAAGAGGAGATCCACCGGATATCAAATTTACAATACAGAGATCAAAATCTCTTACTGAGTCATTTTCAAGAGCTGGAGAAAGAAAATCTTTGCTGTTCTTCTCAGAGATCAAACTCCTTCCAGTCCTTGCAGTCATCCTTATAAAGGAACAAGAATTTTTTATTGTCTTTACAGAAACAATACTTTGAAGGCTACAAAGCAGAGAGAGTTCATGGCTTCAGAGCTTTCACTGGGTAATAATGTTCTATCTTTTAGGCTGAATGGTCATAGAAGAAAAGTAGGAAAGACAGGAACAGGGGATGATTTTGTAAAATAACCCATTTTTGTAATTTCTTTCCTTATACGGAACCAAGACAAAAACTAGAATAGAAAAAACCAAGATCTTGGAAGATTTAGGCATCAGTGAGGTTACATTAGATTTCAGGAACGTGTTTAGGATAGAACGAGACAAAAATAATAAATAGATTTCCAGAATTCAGAGAAGTGGATATTAGAAGTTTCCTTCCATCCAGATACCTCAGAGATCCAGCTATCCTAATATTAGTTTCATAATGCCATTTCTAAAAATCTTGATATTCCCAGATATGTTCAAATTAACATTTATTAATACATTCATACCTGATTTTATATTAAGGCATACACTTCCCAAGCTCATTCACTTTTTCCCTGTAGATTCCAAATTTCAATTAATTTCTTCTCTTTTCTGCCTGTGTGTTGTGTTCAGAACCTGAATCTCATTTGGACACAGCCCTCTAAAATTCAATCACTAAAATGATGAGAAACGTTGTTTTCAAAGAGAATATTCGAATCAGTACATGTAAAAGAACTAGTGCAAGGTCTCTGTTTCCTATCTACAGGAGAAGGCTGTCCTTTTCTGAATTCAGTTCCTAGAAAAATCTACTGTAGAGTTGAAGGACACAGATATGACAAGCCACACCATAAATCAGTGCAGACATACAAAGCAGCCAGGTGTTGGGCAGCAGAAGGAAAGCATCAGTGCTAAGCCTGTACTGGGATGGGTCTGTCTGACCCACAAAGGACATACCAAAACTCTGCATTTAGTTGAGTCTGGAAAGATTCAAAGGATCTGCCAGGGAGTGAAGACAAGGAGAGCTTCAAGACTAGTTTACAGGTAAGAGTTGGTGAAGGAACCAAAGTTCCTCAGGGGCTCCACGGGCTTTCTCTCCTCTGGGGCTGGGTGGCCCAGGGCAGCTTTGACACAGGAGCCACGTGGCTATGGATCTGGCTACTGGGAGGACTGTGTTAGGGAGCTGAATCCAGTAGCCTGGTACAGGTGAGACTGCACAGCTTCATGCCCCAGGTTCAGTCAGTAGTGAAGCTGAGCATTTATTCCCAGGTACATGCATACATACATGCAATATATATACACACATAGCCAGCCACACAGATTAACACAGGCAGACACTCAGTATTCACACCAACCTTAACAGTACCAATGGCCTCATAGTGCTCACCTCTTTGGCTAATTCAGATGGAGGTCCTCTAGTAAAAACCCCAAATCTATATATGTACAATATGTAACCATCCAGCACCTGGGCTTGGACACTGCATTCCATCATTCACAGTTATTTGTAGCCCCACTCCAGCTGCTGGTACAAACCCTTGTGCACACACACACTCACGCACATGCACATATACCCATTAAGGATGCTACAATAGCTCACACACACACAGATAC